AAAAAAAAAGAAGTGGGAAATCAGCCACAGGCCCCTGTCTACACCCAGCAGGCTCACAGGTCACAGGTCACAGAGCAACCCGGCCCTGCGGGGCACAGAGCCTGTCACTAGCCCAGACCCACACGCGTGTGCTCTGGGGGACCTCGGGCACACAGCACGTGCCGTCAATGCTGTCAGCAGCCCGCTGTCCAGAGCAAGGGGCCAGCCTGGGCCATCCCAAGTCCTGATCGGGACCGTGCCCCTTCCTGGCGGACCAGTGAAGACACCAGGCCCGAGCCTGCGTTCGCGAGAGCACTGCAGACCAGGCCTGGGAGAGGATGCTGTCCTGAGCCTCGCCCGGACTAGAAGCTTGGAGCCCAAACCCTGCCTCTCCGCAATCGTTCACCAAGGACCGCGAGGGGCCAGGCGGCGGTGGGGAACGAGAGGTGGCCTGTGGGACGGTTCCGGGTACTCGTGGGAGACCTCCCGGAGAACCAGGACCCCAGGACCCCAGGGGTGCTATCTCCCTCTCAAGAAGAGAGAAATAAAAAAACTTATGAAAGAAATTAACTAAAAAAAAAAAAAAAAGGGGGGGCCGGCCGGTGGCATGGTGGCTGAGGCTCTGGACTCCACTTGGCTGACCACAGTTCGAGTCCCAGACCTGGCAGCTTCTTTTCTCACTATATATATATATAATCTTTCTGGTAAAATTAAAAAAATAATAATAATGGGACCACCAGATGGAATAATGGTTATGTCCCTAGACTTCCATACGGCCAAATATGGTTCGAGTCCCAGACCCAGTGGCTTAAAACTCACACCAGGTGCAGGTGCATGCGTGCCTAAGATCCTGTGAGAATGGAGGGGCAGGGATTGCAGGTGGACATCCTCCCTAGGGGGTGATTTCTCACTTTCTGTCTCTCTCTCTGGTGAGTGCACGTGCCCTATAGCAAAAATCTTTCTCTAAAACAGTAATAATAATAAATAAATAAGATTAAATACATTTTAAAAACAGAATTTTGCAGCTCTGGTGACGTCAGGAACGCGGTCCCCTGGCGCTTCCTCAGGCGCACGATTAACTTCCTAAATGAACACGTGCAACAGCACGGTCTGAGCGCCGGGCCACCGGGCCACCATGGCCCGTCAATTAGTCAGTTTTCACTTTTCAGAAGAACCGACCTGGTCCAGAGCGCGGGTCCTGCAGGCTGGGCCCACAGCGCCCCCTGGCGGCCCTAGCCCGCACTCGCAGTAGCGGCGCCCCTCACTCCCACTTCGCCGGGTGGGCGCGGAGAGGCTCCGAGAGGTCATAAATTGCTCCAAAGCCACCCAGCACCTTGAGCAAGGCGGACACTAGCACGAAGGTAGCCGCCTCCAAGGCCAGCCGCCTTCCCTTACCGCTTAGGAAGAGCAACCCTCGCGTGGGTTTGGTCTTTATTTTAGGGGTGTCTCTTGCTCCCAAGACCGAGAGAGCGAGGGTTAGGGCCCCCTTGAAAATCTGAAGGACGCGCTTCCCAGAATAGAAAGCCCAGACACGTAAATACAGCTCCTAGCTAGGCTGGCGAGGCCGGCGGTGGGCCGCGGGGGAGCCCTCCGTCTAAATCGATCCCCTTAATTCAAGGGACCTGAGCGGAGGGAGGAGGGCCATCGCCGCACCTGCTCGGCGCAGCCTCCAGGCCACCTGCGTGCGCAGCTCGCCCCCCAGTGGCCAGGCCTGGGACTGCGCGGCGCCCAGCAAGGCGCCAGACCCGGCTGGCCCAAAGGAGGGCTTTGTCCTGGCGGCGGGGAAAGGCGCCCCCTGGAAGCAAGGGTGAGCCTGGTGGTGACCCCAGGCCGCTGCTTAGAGAACAGACGCCCCAGGGCAGGCGCGAGGGGCTGGAGCCCCCGGACCAGTCTGGCAGGCCCTCCAGTTTGCAGACCCCAGCCCTGAAGCAACCCAGACCGCTCAGGTCGGGTCTCAGCCCCAGGCCACCAAGCAGGGCCACCTGCTCCGGAGCCCACACAGAGGAAGACCACTCCCACACACCCCTCCACTCACCAGGCTCCACCGTCAGAGACCCTCCTCTCTGGGTCAGGGAGGGCAACTGCGTCTCCAGGAGGAAAACCCAAGCCAGGAGCGAGGGCCGACCTCTTCAGGTCCTACGCTCCTGAGGGGCAGGGTGTGGACCGCGGGCGCTCGCCCTGCGCATGTCTGCCCACGCCTGACAGCGAGGCTCGTGAACGCATGTCAGACAGCAGCTGTTCGGGCCAGCCAGACCGCTCAGCAATGCGTTTAACCCTCTCGGGTCGGCGCCTTCCAGTTCCCAGCCAAAGTCAGGGGCTGCGTCTCCAGGGGCTCGGGCTGCCACACCTGGAGTGAGGACGGGTAGTATTCTGGAACATTCTAATTAACAGGAGTCCCGAGGCTGGAGGAAAACTGAACAAACAAGTGATCAGGGAGGCTTCCTGGAGGAGGAGGCGTTGCTGGAATTGGGCTTGCATGCCTGTGAGGCCTGTGTAAGAAACAGACATGCAGACACACACACATAGAAACAGACACACAGACACATACACAAACATGCATACACACACACACACACACACATGCATACACACGTGCACAGACACACACACAGAATGCTTTTAGCAGGTAACCTTTGTGTTCTCTCCCACCAGCAGGTGGGGCTGCATGGAGCTGGCAAGGTGTCCGCCATGTGGCTTGCCTGCCGGTATCTACAAAACCTCCTGCTGGGACCAGCAGATGGCGTAATGGTGACGTTGCCAGACTTCCTCGTAGTTGACCTTGGTTTGAGTCCCTGACCCAGCAGTTTAAAACTCACGCCAGGCACGTGTGTGTGCCCAAAGGCCGGAGAGGAGAATGGAGGAGAAGTGATTGCAGGGTGGCTGCCCCCCCGGGGCGGGGGTGATTTCTTGCTTTCTGTCTCTGTCTCTCTTGCGAGCGCATGCGCCCTGCAGCAAGAATCTCTCTGAGAATAAATCTCCCCATGGCTTGGAAGCAGCTCCAGCAGGAGTGTGGGCGTGGCTGCTCCTGGGGGAGTTTTCAGGACTCACCAGGTGTCTGCAGGCGCAGGGCTGCGGGCTGTTCCGGCGCCTCCCCATCCCCCGCCCCACC